CCTGACGTCTACTCCAGAGCCCACACAGTCCACGAATCGGCAGAAATCTACCGCTACACTTGCACATGTACCTCTGCCACCTGCAACTGCTACTACAGTAGCACCGGAGCCTGAACATTTGTCAGAACCAGTGATCACACCGTCACCCACATCAGGCCCTGCAATGACAACAGCGCCAGGCACAGTGAACCAACGTGTACTGCCCTCACTGAGGGAGGCTGTTGATCGAACAGCCATACATTATTCTTTTCGAACAGAGACGGACTCTGATCCTCCGCATCATTCGACTCCTAAGCGACCCCGCCTCTCTGCGGAAGCCATTGATAGCTCTGAGGAAGCCAATGACGTTACCCTCAACTCTGAGGAAGACATACACGAACAGGAGCAACGTCATCATTTACTGTACACATTACTAGCTATTCGGTATGTGTCTGAGCCCACTACGTATCGGGGAGCAATGAAGTCTTCCCACGCTAACCAGTGGCGTAAAGCAGCTAAATCGGAATACAAGTCCATCATGGACAATCACACTTGGGTGTTGGTATCCCCTCCTAAAGGAAGGAAGATTTTAAGTAGCCGATGGATCTTTGTAGTAAAGTATACCGGCACTGGCGAGATCGACCGCTTTAAAGCGCGTCTTGTGATCAAAGGATTCCTTCAGGAATATGGCATCGACTACAACGAGATATTCTCTCCTGTCATCAGGATGGAGGTACTTAGACTACTTCTTACTATTGCAGCTCTTCTCGACTTTGAAGTCCATCAAATGGATGTCAAGACAGCATTCCTTAATGGCTACTTGGAAGAGGAGATCTACATGGCTTAACCGGAAGGTTTCAAAATCCCGGGCAAGGAGCACCTAGTGTGTAAACTTCTTAAGAGCTTATATGGGCTTAAACAAGCGCCTCGTGTATGGAACCAAACCTTGTCTGCCTTCCTAGAGAATCTCGGGTTCCTGAAACTCATTAAAGATCGATGCGTATTTCGACGCACAGTTGCTGACATCACCTGTTACATTGCAGTGTACGTCGACGACTTACTGATCATTGCGCCTACACCAGCACTCGTCAGTGAGCTGAAATCAGCCTTGAAAAAGCGTTTCTCCATGTCAGATTTGGGGAGGTGAAGTACTTACTCGGCTGGTCAATTCAACGTGACCGTAAAAACCGAACGATGTTTATCCACCAGCACAAGTACGCTACGAAGGTCATTGACCGCTTCAGCGACTACATTCCGTACCCTATTGCAACACCAGCAGAACGGAACGCTAAACTTTCCGTAAGCAGCCAGCCCAGCAGTGAGCAAGAGAAAGATGCGATGAAATCGATTCCGTATCGACAAGCTGTAGGTAGTGTCATGTATTTAATGGTAGGCACTCGACCCGATTTGGCATTCTACATGCGAGAGGTCAGCCAATTTCTAGCGAATCCAGGTATGGATCACTGGAAAGCAGTCATTCGTGGTCTAAAGTACCTATCTGGAACGAAAGAATACGGTCTTCTTCTGGGAGGCTCGACCGATATTACATCGGAAAACCTTGCCGATCAACTAATTGCCTACAGTGACTCTGACTACGCCAACTGCCCCGACTCGAGACGCTCCATTGGAGGATACGTGACAATGCTAGCTAGCGGTCCTATCTCATGGCTTTCGCGTAAGCATCATACTGTAGTTCTCTCTACAACAGAGGCAGAATATATCGCCCTGTGTCACTGCATGCAAGAGATGATATTCCTTAAACTTCTCCTCAACGAACTTGGCTTTGCTACAACGCAGGCTAACACAATATACGAGGATAATCAGAGCTGCATCAAAATCTGCTACAGCCCCGAACTTCACGGACGATCAAAACATATACACGTACGATACTGTTTCGTGCAAGAAAAAGTAGAGCGGCATGAATTTAACGTCACCTACTGCAATACGAAAGAGATGATAGCTGACATCTTCACTAAAGCTTTAGATAAGCACCAGTTTAGAGAACTAAGGGCCAAGCTCAGGATGAAATGTCTGAAAGCAGGATCCGGCCACTCAGTTTAGAAACACCCTGATAATACAAGCGCATGAAGCGTGTCTATATTCTGCGTTCTTTTTATAATTTTTTCCCACTGGGGTTTATTCTTTTTTGTTCGCACAAGGTTTTCCCTCGTTGAGGTTTCCCTGGTCAAGTACCGAATTATCTAGACACATGAGTTTATCAATAATAATCGATGCTTAACAACAAATTTGTTAGAGATACGCCAGTACATCTCAGTCGCTTTCACTTTCAGCATTTGTGTCACTGGACACGTAGTCGGTGTCATAATGTGTAGATTTTGTGGTTTCTGTGTGACAAATGACTTCATCACTAAATACCCCAGCTTAGTGACTTCTTCGATGGAGTGGTGGCCACGTGTGCTCGAGAAGCCCCTTCCCCCCTCCTCCAGCGTGGCGATGAGAACTGGCGCAACCTGCAGTGCTGTCCGCGGCGCCCGCTTCTTCTTCTCCCTCATAAGAAGCGCTCTTTGCAGATCGGAAGGGCTCTGTGCCCACCGAAATAGCCTCTACCGATGCGAGGGAGCCTGCTTCGTAGCAGCGGCAAGTAGAGACGACATGTTGGGCTCCATCCTTGAGTTCCTACCAGGCGTGTCACTTAGCGTCCTCCTTCCCTAGCAGAAACTGCAGGGCAAAGTCAGATCGGCTAGCCTAAGCGACTTCCTGGCGGCGTTTCAAGGACTGAGGAAAAGTCCTTTAGGGAAAGTTTTACCTCTGTTATAACATAGAATTGTCAGTTTGATAAAATATGTTCAGAGGCAGGGAGGCTGTTGAAGTAGCCTCTAAACAGTTTGATTACCTTGACCTTAGTCACTCCAAAATATTATAATGAGATTTAGGAGGTCCTGTTTAAGTCGGTATGACTGGCTTAAACTATACAGACACTAATGGCTGGTGTACAGCTATTGGTGGCTTCCTAATACTAATAAAGTACTCACTTCGTCTTTTGACGCCTACAAGTAACGTCTTCTTCCTCTCCCTACTTCTTCTCGACCTGTCATACGAGTTATAGAGGGGAATACCATTGAGGTTATTTGGTCCAAAGGAGATGGGCAACTCATTTGCGCAATGCATGTGGCGCAATCATTAGATTGTGCAGGTTATTAAGCCATACCGGGGCCGAAAACGAGGTGCACGACTGTAGTACACGTACAATAGAAGCTGGTCGTAAGAACAACGCTGTGCCAATAAACGTTGTCACCTGATCCATAAAGATAAAAGTTTTAGATTGAATAGACTGAACCCATATGTGCTACTGCTGTAACCATTGTTTTCTAAGAGACTGCTGTAAGCCATTGTTTTCTAAGAGTTGTTAGGCAGCAAAATCCGATACTACTTAGCTGGCGGACGGGTCGCCGACAGGGGCGTAGGATACGAATTTAAATGGAGCGGCAGCACAACAACAAAACACGAGAGGTGTTAATTATAGTTGGCTAAGTAGACACCATAAAGAAGCGTTAATAAACTTGGAGCCTAAATGACGTTTAACCATCCTTGAAATTATCGTTAAACTATCAAATTGAAAGCACTACTGTACCGTCAGCAACAACAACAGCAAGGCGTCTTGCGACACATTATCCAAATGCTTTAATCATAACTGGTAGTCTATTGACTAATTCTGAATCAGCACAAAATGAACGCTGCATGCATAAAAATATATTACAATTTGAATATTTTCAAGCTTTCATTACGTTTTGTGTGTGAAGCAAGCTCAAAGAGGCAGTACAAGCGGATAAGTAGTGCAAGCTGGACAGACCATTACTATCATGTGAGCTAAGTTTCATAGCGGCTCAGAAATGGTCCGTGATATCGAGCACGACGCTAAACTAAACATATTGTGTAGCGTTTGTATAAATGTTATTTGAAGTGCAGGTGGTTTTGGGTGGAAGATGAAGATACAGTGATAGCCAGCAATAAAAAGAGATTGCATCAAGAATCTTGATTTAAGATCATTAGAATAATTATTTCTTCCATTTTTAGACGTCTCTTTTGTTCTTCTTACACTACAATAAATAAATATTTAGCTGTAATTTTTTTTAGCTGTTTGACGTCTTCTGATCCAGTCACAAAAATTACTGCCATGGCAAAGAATATGAAAATATACACCGATTGAGTTATTTTCACGTACTGCAAATGGAGGATTTAAAACTATTTTCGATCGCTGCAACTACAGTACATGTACATGTATTCGAATGGATTTAAATAATGTGAGCAGACGCGAAAACTATGTGAACCTGAACGTACTTCAAGTATGCATTACTTGAATTTTATAAAAATGAGGTGGTTACATACTAAAGAAAATGACTCAGATACTGGTCACAAGGCCTTTTGTAATAGTCGAGTTGGCATTCATGCGCCAACGGAAAGAGCGAGATCGATCGACCAAACTGCAACAGAGAAATGAACAACTCTGCCGGAAACCGGTACATGTACGACTCTAACATTATTGGTAGGTATTAATAATAACGCCCCTCATCATGAGGCTCATCATGAACCTCATGGTCCATGAGTCGAATGTGACGCAACCGCATTCGCACTATTATGCATAAATTTCGTCAATATCTGGCAGCCACTCAGCTCTATAGCTCACTCTCACAACGTGTTCGATATCAACGTGACCTTAAGGCTTCGCCACAATGTTCTTGCGGCGAGAGATTGCTGTCTTGCTTCGCGTCCGCCAATGGATCGATGGGTGCAATTCGCAAAGCTCAGACAGCGCCAAACATCCGGGTCGTTGCTGGAGGAGTTCTGCGGATGATCTGCAATCTGGTGCTCGCCATAACACGGTCAAATTGCCTGGTCTTCACGCCGCGCGATCCTGCTATGCTGCGGGACATTGACACCTGCATGACGAGCGACAGGCATTACCGCATACCATTGCATACTGATTTCAAGATGTCATGCTTTTGCTCGTCTTAAGTTCGTTTTCACAGCTCCGAATGTATCGGACCCGATTCGGAGAAGCGATGGAGAGCACGGAACTGCTCGGGAGCGAAGCCATCGCCACTCCCCAAGTTTCCGTCTACGATCCTGTGGCTACCAGCGCAGTCTTCTCCACGCACTCTGAAGACGACGTCCCCGAGACCGCGTCTTTGCTTTCAGAACCGCTACTAAACTCCGACTCCAATTCAAGAAAAATGCCCCAGGTCGGCCGGCAAGGCGCCATCGTGCTGCTATGCCTTATTAACCTGGTCAACTACATCGACCGCGGCATCATTCCTGGCGCGCCCGAGAAGTTCAACCAGTTCATCACTGACACTCTGGGTGTGAGTGTGCTGCGTCAGTCCGTGTACTTCGGTCTGTTGACCTCAGCATTCATTGCAAGTTACTCCATCTTCTCCATGGTGTTCGGCTACTTTGCACTGACACACCGACCATTCCGTATCATTGCGTTGGGTATGACCGTGTGGGTGGTAGCCGTGGCCATCTGTGGTATGGCTCAGGCCTCCCAGAGTTACTACGTACTGATGGCGGGTCGTCTTATCAGCGGTGTCGGTGAAGCTTCGTTCCAGTGTACAGCAACACCTTTCATCAACCGCTATGCGCCACCAGCGAAGCGCTCTCTTTATCTGGGTATTTACCTGGCTTCCATCACTGTGGGAACTGCGGTTGGATATATCTATGGATCCATCTTCGCCAGCTCAGGATTTGGCTGGGCAGGGGCTTATTTCGTGGAGGGTATTATTATGATCGTATTCATTATCTGCTGCCTTACTATTGTACCGGACGAGCTGAACCAGATCCCGGTTAATGAAGTGGACCGTGAAGAGATTGAGAGTAAGCAGAGTGAACTGGCGGTAGTGCCTCACACTCCTGGAGACGATGACAAGCAGAGTGCGACCGCATATATGGAAGATAAAGACCGCGCTCAGCACAGCCGCCTCGTACACAAGACGTCATTTTTTGTGGAGTGGTGGGCCATCTTCAGCAACGTGCCGTTCATGCTGATCATCCTCGGACACGCGGCGTACACTTTCTCTCTGGCAGCCATGAGCACCTTTAGCCCTGCTATCTTCATTGGTCTGGGTCTGTTCGAGGACGAGACGACGGTGTCACTTATGTTTGGTGGACTTGTAGCCATCACCGGTACCATTGGTACGCCTCTGGGAGGAATTTTGGTCGACTACCTCGCAAAGAAGAAGCCCAACGAGATTGGCCGTCGCTGCATGATCTCCGTATACGCGCTGTTCTACTTCATGCTGGCTGCGGTTGTGTTCGGACTCATTATGGTGGCATTTGCCAGCACCAAGATGCTGTGTTTGGCTTTCCTCACGCTCTGCCTCTTCTTCATGTGTGCGTTATCCGTTCCCGAGACGATTGCCGTGCTTGAGCTCTTCCCAAAGTCGCGTCAGTCGATGGCCGTAGCAGCCAATACGCTGGTCATTCACGCTCTGGGTGACGTGCCGTCCCCTATTATTCTGGGCGCTATCAAGGACTCATGGGCTCCCCACTGTGGCACCGTAGAGATCGACGGCGAGGCAGAGCTTAACCCAGATTGTTCGGAGGACCACGCCGGTCTTCGTGACGTGCTGCTGTTTGCAGTGGTCTGGCTGGCGTGGGGTGTCATGCTGTGGGGCGCTTCCGTCATCGTTGTGAAGCGGAGACAGAAGGAGGAGATGCAGCGCGTGGCCCGTGGTGGTGTGAGTGATGGCTTGTTGTAAGCTGCTATTAGTCATCAGTCGATTCCGACGGTGAACAAGCATTAAACGAGCGCAGATGGCAAACCGAATAGGAATACATGTAGAAGCTCTGAACAGTGGGTTAAGATCTTCTCGGTCGAAGTTGCTGTCTTATCGCTCTGCCTTGCCTTCCACCTCGGATGTACAGATTTGAATGCCTTTTCGTCTGTATTACCATGTATTAATACTGTAGTTGCTTATCCCCTGCCTTCTCTACGCCAAAAGAGCAACCTGTCGACGCTCGCTCCACACCAAAACAACAACAGAATCAAAGCAAAAACTGAGTGTCGTAGGCCTCTCTCCTGTGCTGTACGTGCGTATCCATTACCCCGTTTGTTTCCGATGTCTACAAGTTCTTGCGGTGCAGAATTGAAGCACCGTACTCCTCGTACTCACTCTTGGTGATCCACATGTTCTTGAACGTTGCAAGCGAAGCCAGAATGGAGCCACCGATCCATGTAGAGTAGATGCGTGTAGGCGGCGCTGAAATGCGAATTTTAATGTCCTTGGGTGCTTTCTTGCGCACCTCAGCGAGTAAACGGTCGCCGAAGCCCGGAAACAGCGTCGAGCCTCCCGAGAGAATTATCTGAGAGAACAGCGTCTTACGCAGGTCCATATCCGACTTCATAATGGCCTGCACCAGGCACTCATGCACACCACGTGCCTCCGATCCGATAATCTCCGGACGGAAGAGCACTTCCGGAGCACGGAACTTTTCAGGGCCAATCTGTAAACACACAAAAGTATCAAATACGTAGATCCATGTTAGAACCACCGTCACAACGATAGAAAAAACAGCTTGAAATACTCTTACGTTGAGCAGTGTGCCGTCCGGCAGATAGTAAGCCGAAGTATCATCTCCAGATGTGGTGGTAGACTTGGACTTAGTGATCATATCTTTGACTGCAAGCGCCGATTTTTCAGCTTCGAGCTGCTCTTCCTTGGTGGGGTTGAAGGCCACGTAGCACAGTTTCTCCTTGATCTCCCGAACTACCTCTCGCTCGGCAGACGTCAGGAAGTTGTAGCCTGCACGGCGCAGCAGCAACTGCAAGTGACGAGTGACGTCACGTCCGGCAATATCCATCCTGGTGATGGCATGGGGCAGCGTGAAGCCCTCGTACACTGGGACAACGTGAGCCACGCCATCCCCCACATCTAGCACGACGCCTGTAGTTCGGCCCGAGGCGTAGAGACTCAGCACAGCCTGTGGAGACACGAAGAGTGATGGCACGTTGAAAGCCTCGAAGAAGACCTCGCCCGCGCGCTGGCGGTTGGCCACGGGGTTCAAAGGCGCCTCTGTGAGCAGGACAGGGTGATCCTCGCTCTGCACGTTGAGCATGTCCTTGGAGTACACGTGCTGCCATACGCGGTGCATACTGTTCCAGTCCGTGACCACGCCGTGCTCCATGGCGTATTGGATCTTGAACAGCCCGCGGTGGTACTGTACGCGGTTGCCTACGAACACGTCACCACCTTCATACGCACCGCCAGGCATCATGCGAGTGTGTTTCGTGGTACCCACGAAAGATGGGAATACAACTTGCGGTGTCTCTCCGCCCGCGAATCCTGCCTTCATAAGTCCACTGCCATTGTCGATCACCAGCGGCTGGTTGCCCAGCACCTCCCGCGTCGCCGCGCTCGCCATTTTTGCTCTAAGATGCAGGGGAGCTTGAAAATCCTGGCAATATGTCCGATGTAAAATGTCGCTTCAAAAACGGTCAATTCTTAATCGGCTATCGTATCGAAATGATAGCAATATATGACAGTTGTTGCAGGACAGAGCTTATAATTATCCATCACTCTTTTATCGTAGGCCAATCCAATCGGGGAAAACGCCGAGCAAGACTATGGAGGGCGCGGAGCGAGAGGTGGCGGCGCTGCTGGAGAAGGTGCAGGGCGCTGGCAGCAATGCTGAGCAGATGGACCTCTTCCGCCACGTGCAAGAGATTGTAACGCACAGAGATCCGTCGGGACCGGAACGACGCGTGCTGCGTAGCGTGTTTCCATTGCTCGGACAGCTCGCGCAGCTGCAGAACACGACGCTGGTGGCGTCGATTCTGCAGCTTGTGGCACAAGAAGCAGCCGCCGCGTCGGCCACAGCCAACACGGCATCTAGCGAGGCAGTGGGCGCGGCGTCTGCGATCCTGGCTGGTCTCTATGAGGTGTGCCATACCGTGTTGCTGCTCAGCTACTCGACCGAGAAGAACGTGGTGCTGGCGCTGCAGCTGGCGCTCAGCAATCTTCATTCAAGCTTCCAGATCGTTCTGCGCGCTGAGAGCATCGATAGCCGCGTGGATATGGAGGCAAAAAGCTGCTGGGGGGCCACGGTCCGCTGCGTCGAAGCGACGGCCGACGTCGTGGCCAACCCGCCAGAGACGGGAGATAACAACCGCAGCGTCATGGTCTGGTTACGGGCCTGGAAGCTTCTGGAGAGCGGCGTCATGCTCTTCAGCACGGCGCAGGACGCGTCAGTGTACCGAGACCCCATGCGATCCAACGTGCAGCCCAACGCCTGCAGCCTGGACCGGCTGAGTGGGGGAAACCAGACGATTTTGGTCAAGACTCAACTAGAAGAGTTTGGGGTTTTCTTGTTGCAGAGACTGTGTGGCGTTGTGGGCGCTGCAGCGGAGAGCAAGGTGACCCTAGCGAGACGAGAAATGAGTGTGGCGATCAATTCAGTGTCGTTATTGGCGGCTGCGCGACCGCAGCACATGCCACACATTTTGCCAGGGCTGATTTCTCTTTCCAATGCAGTGGCGACGCCCGGAATGGAAGATGCTGTGATGCAGAAGACTTTAACGGCCAATTTGGTGAAGCTGCTGAGTCATCCGGCAGCTCAGCCATTTGCGGATGAAGTAACGGACATTTTGATCGCAGTGGGGGCCTCTCAACGCGCCTTTGCTGCGATTAGTAAGAGCAAGGAACAGCGGAGAAGGTATACCAATGCACCTACTGAGGCATCGTTGCGGAGGGCCAGGATCGGTAAGCGCACTGCAGCGCAGTCGATTACAGAACGAGTGGAGAATGCAAATGCTCATGCAAAGCGCAGGCGTGTAAACCTTTCCGAGTCCTCTGCAGCCCCCATGTCTCGGGAAAAGGTAACACACGACGGTATTGTCAATATGCAAGCTGTGGAAGTTGCCAATTTGGTACTGGAGAGTTTTGCGTCCGATATGCCCACCCCTGCGCCTTCTAATCTGCAGTTGGAGCTCGTTCCCAGTGCGCTAAAGACGCGAATGTCTGCACTATTGGCAAAACTTGCAACTCCGTCCTCCGCTTTGGCAATTGAGAAAAGTGCCAAGCGCATGCGTGACCCTCGACTGAGACGCGACCCAAAATTGCAGACACAGAACAAGGAGCAGCCAGCACTTGTACCCATTTTTGATGACTCTGCCGTCGAAGAAGTGAGTGATTGGATCTCGAAAAACGCTGCTACGATCGCAGAGCCACTCGTATCTGTCTCGGAGGACAACGTGGTTCAGGTGCATTTGAAAGCAGAGACCGCAGCATGGCAACACGAAATGGCTATTGACGCGCTGGTTCGGATCTTGGAAAATGAGTACGGAGTGAAGATTCGAGGCGATGAGGCGTTGCGTGAAGGGATTGTATGCCGTCTCGCGTCAAGTCCTTGGCTGCTTAGTACGGACGAGAAGAACAAGCCGGTGTCGCAGTCGGATGTTTCACCGAAACTACCCTTTGTCTATCAGAAGATTTTGGACTTTGTGCTGGGCGATTACTCTGTTCGCTCAACGCTTGCAACAAATGTGCTTTGCCAGGAGTATATTCGTGCAACAGCTTCCCAGCTAAGCCGGGCCACAGACGAGGGCATTGCACCTCCAGGTGGCGCTGCTGATTATCAGATTTATCGAATCTCGGCTAACTATTTCTTTGGCGCGTTGCAAAAGAAGATGAATCTGTCGTCGTCGGCGGACAAGAAGCTGTTTGGTAGTTTAGTGGCGCAACTTCCGCGGATTCCAGTGGAGATTCTTCGCCTCGTTACGTCTCTGTTTAGCGAGAAATCTGGAATCGTTCTGGGGATCACACTGCTCCGTGATCTCTGCAAGGAACGGAAAGCATGTCAGATGCCCTGTCTTCTCCTTTTATTGCGGTTTACATGCCACGAAGACGAGCACTATCGCAATTCCGCCATTCGCTGTGTAGCTAACCAGCTTTATGGCATTGGTGCTCTTAAAAGCGACATCGAGGGATTTGCGATCAAGTTAGTTAACTCGCTGCGGGAGCCCGTGCAAGTCAACGATCTAAATGCGACGGAGAAAGATGAAGAGATGTCTGAGGCTGTCGATGGTGCTGAAAATGGAGAATCCACCCATATCCGAGATGCTTCTGAGGCAGTGGAGCTAGAAAACAACTGGCTGAAAAACCAGGTGCAACGAATAACGCTAGCTGAAGTGGATAGTAACCATGAGCTACAGGCTTATGCAGAGGAAGTTCAAGGCGAAGCTGAACTCTCTAAGCCCTCGGACAACGAAACGGAGATCTTGCGGCGGTTGGAGCTCTATCTGGCTCTGTGTGCGAAAAAGCCGTCGCTGCTGACACATATGGTGGCGTCGTATGCGTCCGCATCCGAAACAGTGCGTCAAGTGGTTTTCCGTGCAATTGAAAAGCTTATTAAGCATCTCAAGCAGCGCGGAAGTGTGAATGTTGTTGCTCAGCTGCACGGGTACGAGCCGAACGCTCTTGGACTGGTCTGCCACATCATCCAGATCCTGTCGCTCCGTGGACGGCCGAACGAGCCAAGCACGTCGGCTACTGACGAGCTCGTGCAACAGATTTTGGAGCTGTACCGTAGCCACGAGCACATTCCAGACTCAATCTCGGTGCTCATTCCGGTACTGCCCAGTATTCGCGGCGACGTCTTGTTCCCATTGTTACCCCATCTGCTATCACTACCCCCAGCTCGACTGTCAGTTGCCATGACGCGGCTATTAGAAGCGATGCCTCCCCAAGTGGTAGCTCCCATCGACTTACTCGTGGCACTGCATCACGTGGATCTCAAGAGCGAGCCAAGTATGCAAAAGAAGGTAATTAACGCTATCAACATCTGCGTGGAACACCGCCACGCGTTCCCTTCGGATGTGCTTCTCCACGTGTGTCGAGTGCTGGTCCAAGAGGAGAGGATCTCCAAGCTTTCGCTCCGTACGCTCATTCTTAGCGTCACGGCCTACCCGACTCTGCAGAAGGATATGGCGTCTCTCCTTAACATCCTCATTGAGAGGAGGGTGTGGGAGATGGAAGACGCGTTGTGGAAGGGCTTCGTCAAGTGCTCAGCGCTTATCCAACCAGCATCTTTCCCTTTGCTTCTCCACAAACTACCAGTGCCACAATTGGACTTGCTGCTGACTGAGGAAAAAGAGTTGCGCGTTTTACTCCGAGAATTCGCCTTCACTGCTGGTCCTGATGGCCAGCCCCTGGATCTTCCTTCTGAGATCAACGCGCTCCTTGAAGACCCTCAAGAAGTCAAGCTTGAGGGCGTCCCTGACATTGAAGAGCCAGAAATGAAAGTAGAGAAGACTGACCCTGTCGACGTGGACGACGGAGCACAGCCGAGCAATTAGGAAAGGGATCGTCCCACGTTAGATACTTACCTCGAAGTAACAGAATCTCAAAAGGAAACAACATACTACGTAGTAGGCCGCAGTGAACACTGAGGGTCATTTACTTTGGCATTGCCGTAATATTACTACTTGAACGATTTGTACGGCTTGGTCCGTGTGTCTTAGGCGCAACATTAGCCGCAGGTGTGTCTGTTGTAGCGAATGTGGCAGATCTCACTCACTTCTGCAATAGCCTTAAGAGCTTCGTCCATATCCTCCTTTGTATGAGCTGCAGAGATACAGAAACGCACACGAGACAGCAGCAAGGGCGTGGCTGGGAATCCTACGGTCACTACGGCGAGATTGCGCTTGAGGCATTCACGAGAGTATTCTCCGACCTTCGACATGTGATACAGCATCACCGGGATCACAGGCGAGTCGAAGTCACCAAGCGTAATGACGCCCATGTCGATCAATTTCTGACGGAAGTAATTGCTGTTCTCACGAAGTGAATCCAGTTTAGTACGGCCAATGTCCGTGCCGTCCAGACCGGCAATGATGTTAAGAGCCGTCAGAATTTGCTGTGCAATGACTGGAGATAAACTCGTCGCGTAGATTGCACCGGCGCTTGAGTTTCGGATGAAGTTGATGATGTCGTCCGACGCCGCGATGTATCCGCCCATGCCACCAAAACTCTTCGTGAACGTGCCCATCAGAATGTCAATCTCGCTCGGATCTACTCTAGCATATTCGCAAATACCACGACCAGTCTTGCCAAGAGCTCCAATACTGTGTGCTTCGTCAACGTAAATGTAGGCCTTGTACTTCTTGGTCACGTCCACCATCTCACGCAGACGCACGATCTCTCCCTCCATCGAGTAGATCCCTTCAAGCATCACCATAACCTTCTTCCACGCACGGTGTGTGCGAGGCTGTCCTTCCGCGATCTTAATGCGCAATACCTCTTCCAAGTGCTCTGGATCGTTGTGTCGAAAGACCCCCACAGTAGCCCCAGAAGCACGAGCACCGTTCACAATGGAAGTGTGGTTCAGTACATCGCTCAAGATGAGTGTACCTTTGCCCATAAGCGCCGGGATGCTCGTCGCGTTGGTTGCGTAGCCCATGTTGTACACAATCGCCGCCTCTTTGCCAATGAACTTGGCTACAGCCTTCTCCAATGCAATGTGCACCGACGTCGTACCGAATTCCATCGGAGGCACGGTAGAGGCCAGAGAGAACTGGGTCACTGCCTCAAGCACCTCGTGGCTGCAAGTGTTCATCCAGTCATCAGCAAAGCCTAGGTAGTTGTAGGACCCGAGGTTGAGACAGCGCTGTGGCGGCTCGCCCAAGTGCACGAAGGTTTTGTTTCCATCCGCGGATTTGCGCTGGATGAGGTCGATGTGGGCGCCAGGAGCGCCGGTTACGGGGCGGTTGAAGACGTCCTGAACGCGGTGGTACAGACGGCGCGTGTAGAAACTCTCCCAGGCGATGAGTAGTTTGGCCAGGCCAGAGCGGGTCTCTTCCGAACGGTAGCGTGAGATACCTGAGATGCTGGCCACAATGTCACGTAAGTGACCGAAGGTGATGAGGATCGAGTACTGCAGGAAGCACATGATAGCGGGGAACCATGGCACGTGCTCGGCGGTCATGGTGCGCGGACGGCAACTTGGGAGAATTCTAAACTGACGCTTGGGACAAGTCTCTCGAAGCAACAACAATTTGGGAAGTCACAGAGAGTGAGAAAGGAGTCACCTACATGTACTACATGTGCGGCTTAGATACATGTACAGTACCAGTGGTGGGTAAAACTGTACGGGGGGGGGCAAAGAAGACAGCACTATTATATGCAATATGTATTAAAATAAGCCACCACGTTAGCAGTATGAACTGCAGTACTCACCGAGCTTTCAATATTTATTGCAATACCTGCGCAACCATGTCAGCATGCCTGTCATGCTTCAAAACCAGCAACTTCTCGTAGTTGACGGGAGTTAAGCGCTATTCGGATCGAGAGCAGACACCCCGAGGGCGGTTAGAGGAAGGTTTTGTTTGGTATGAGGGCTTCAGTACTTTAATAATTGCAGTATCGTGCTGTAACGACGCACCAACGTCACAGCCAGCGATGGCCATGACGTTGGTACCAATGCGTCCTATTTTCTTCCTACTTTTCTTTGCTGACTGCCAACTGTCTTCTTAAGTTGCCAATGAGCGGCCAGGCAGACACACGCCTGACCGGAAGGCAATCACCATGTTTGGACGAGTATTGCCAAACATGGAACTTCAATGACAGTCATTCTTTTTCATTTGAATTCACTATGGAGATTCTGACCCGGTTCAAATGAACCGCGGTTTACTACTACGCTACGCTACTTCAAGATTCGACTCAAGGACTACTTAGAATCTAGTATAGTGAAATGCATATACTTACATAGGATACCAAGGGAATGCTAAAAAGCACTTCCTCGTAGCCGACAAACAGCTAACCATTTCAATCTCACTTTCCAATTTACCTTCTTCGAGGCACATCAACTGCCTCCTACGCCTTACCTTCGAGTCCCCTTCGTTGGACTCTCGCCGCCCTCCTCCGCTTCGCTCCTCGCCACGCGACTCGCTCCTCGTCGCTGTTCCTCTGCGCCGTGCTCTCACCAGTCGTCACATCTGGTAGCACCTGCTGTTTTTCGTCCGGGAGAGGGTTCTTCCTTCTCTATTCGCTACCCGACACGTGGAAAGCCGCTCGTTGAGCGTGTGTCGTCGTTCTTCGTCTCCACATTCGTCGGATTTCTTCGTTGCGACCTCATTTCATACGGCTTGCCGTGTTGAAATTTTGCATGTGTACTGCACTAAGCGTCTGGTCTATAAGAACCGGATCAAGTAAGTACCCGTACCTAACGTCGCACCCTTCATCAGCGTTATCGTTGATTGCGTGTGTACTGTAAGTGTCTGGTCTATAAGAACCGAATCAATTCAGTACCTGCACCCCTCGTCGCTGTCCATCTGTACCCGACTACCTTTTCGGCACTTCATCGCTGAATTTTTTGACAATCAACCATGACTTCGTTGAATCCTCAAGGATGGTCTACTGACGCTATCACGCAGAAACTCATCGAAATGGTTGACAAGCAGCAACAACTGCTTGAAGCCATGAGTAAGCGTGAAGTGAAAGTGGAAGGTATCCGTCTGCCTGAATTTCATGGCATGATGGGAGAATCTGTTGATTTGTACTTCGAGCAACTTGCTCAGTACTTTGATGCCAAAAACATCGATTGGCAAAACGACAACCAAAGTTCTCGAATTTTGGCCATTACTACTGCAAACTTTAAAGGAAGTGCTGCCGCTTGGTACAAGCTGAACAAGCGTGATATCAAGGACATGCAGGACCTTATCGCCCGGTTGACCGATGAATTTGTGCCTCCGGATTTGCAAGAGCGTTTGCGTGATCAATTGTACGCGCTCAAGCAGAAATTTTGCTCTAGCTTGGAAGATTACATCTCTCGCTTCCGTGAAGCCATCATGCAAGTGACAGACATGAGTGAGTTGGACTAGATCACTTACTTCACACGTGGACTAGTCAGTCCTACGCGTGAAGAGGTGCAAGATCGTCGCTGTACAACAGTGTCGCAAGCAATGAAGATTGCTTTGGAGTATGATCGATCGCATCATGTCCGCGGTAAGAACTATCGTCCACCGTTCTTTTCGCAGGACCGATCACGCTCTCAGTCCAACAACAATTCGCACCAAAAGCAAGCCACGCCTATGCGTGTTCAGGAGAACGAACCCGAGCCAATGGAAATTGACTTAGGGAGTACTAGAAATCGCCGTTCTGCTTCTTCTTCGTCGTCTAACAAGCGATGTCGTTACTGCAAGAAGTCTGGTCATGTCATTGAGCAGTTCTTCAAGTTGAAGAACAAGGAGAAGTATGCTCAAAAGAACCGTCACGAGCAATCTACCGCGAACTTTAATTCTTCTTCTCCTACAACTGCTGCGGCTGCTGAACGAGCGTCTATGACCCGTTCCGATGACGAGGTTGAGGTTGTTGAAGTGGAAAAGATTTCCACGTCCACCTTGTCGTCCATGCATTGTGAGAACGAGCTCATTCGTAAGCAAGGGACTTGTGATGGGAAACCTGTCGTCATCATGTTCGACAGTGGTGCTACGTGCAATGTTGTTCGCCCAGATTTAGTCGCTAACACCGCTACGTCTGGTGTCTCACAAGTCACTCGGTTCGATGGAACTTCTACGAAAGCGCGTTCTGTGAAGAAAGGTCAAGCGACCATTGAATTCGGTCGCTACCGTTTTCGCAAACTTCAAGTCATGGAATGGTCACTTGGATCTGCCCAATGATGTCATCTTGGGAAAACCTTGGTTTACCAAGTTTCAGCCATGTATCAATTGGCGTTCGCATGAGATTTCGTTTCCAAGTGTGTCTTGTGCACCTCCATCAACGGTTGCTTGTCAAGCAGCTGTGGAGATTGCTGCTGTTGACTTTAAACGTAACGTGAAGAAACATGTGTACAAGGAAGTGTACCGTGTCAAAATTTGTGCGGTCACGCCAGTTAGTGAGTCGACTCCTGTTCCGATCACTCACTTATTGAAGCGTTTTACTGACGTCTTTCCGAAAACTTTACCGGATGGCTTACCGCCTTCACGTCGTGTGGATTTCGAACTCCACATGAAACCTGATGCTGTTCCAAGTAGCCGTGCTCCGTTCCGCCTGTCTAAGGTTGAGCAGGATGCACTGGATCTCTTCGTTGCAGAGAAGCTAAAGAAAGGATGGATCGAAGTTTCTGATTCTCCTTGGGTGTCCAACATCTTTGGGATTCCAAAGAAAGATCCTACTTCTGGACATCAGCTGTCTCGCTCTGAGTGGGTACGCTCTGGAAACTCGACTTTGCCTATCCGTTGGGTCATCGACTATCGCTATGTGAACTCGCAGTCGATTGTTCCAAAGAATCCACTGCCTCGCATCGACGAACCCTTCGATCAGATGTCTGGTTGTGTCATCTTTTCAGTTCTAGATTTGGCTCAAGGATATCACCAGATGCGTATCACGCTCAAGAGTCGCAAGTATACCGCCTTTCGCACGCACGCTGAAACTTACCAGTGGTGTGTAGCTCCTATGGGATTGGCCGGTATGCCTGGTGTTTGGTCTCGCCTCATGAGGGTACTCTTTGCGAAGTACCGATTCATTGTTGCCTACTTGGATGACATTTGTGTCTTTTCCACCAGTCTGGAAGAGCATGTTGAGTATCTTCAAACTCTCTTCGAGGTTCTACGTCGTGAGAAATTGTTCTGCCATCTCTCGAAGTGTCACCTTGGTCAGTCCGAAGTTAAGTTTCTTGGCCATACGATTTCTGCCAAAGGACTTGCTGTTGATACTCGCAAGACTGAAGCGATTGCAAAGTGGCCTACGCCACTAAACCAAAAGCAACTACAAAGATTTTTGGGCCTCGCAGGTTATTACCGTCGCTTTATCCGTGATTACGCCATTATTGCGTTGCCTCTTGGTTCTCTTGTCAAGAAAGAACATGTCTGGAGCTGGGGTCCAGAACAGACGCGTTCGTTTGAGGAAATCAAATCCGCCCTCCAAGAAGCACCCGTGTTGCAGTTACCGGATTACGAGAAACGTTTCATCGTGACAACAGATGCCTCTGGCTACTGTGTTGGTGGCGTTATCTCTCAAGTTCGTTCCGGTCAAGATCATCCGAAAGCCTTCTTCTCGAAGAAACTTGGTCCTTACGAGATTAATTGGCCAACACACGAGAAAGAACTCTTCGCTATTAAATTAGCGTTAGACAAGTGGCGTCACTACCTATATGGTCGTGAATTTGATATCTACACGGACAACACTGCTTGTAAATGGTTTTTGCACCACCCGAAGGTTTCAGCGAAATTAGCTCGCTATTTGACGTTTTTCGCACAGTTTACGTTCAAGTTGCATCACGTTAAGGGACACCTCAATGTGGTTGCCGATGCCTTGTCGCGTCAATCTTCGGAGCATGCGATCAATACGGTTTCGTTTCATCAGTGTACCACGCGCTGCCACACCCGTGCAGCTCGATGCCTGACGAATCGACGCGTTATTACCGACTACCGCAGTCTTATCCAACATTTGGTTCGACCACCCTCTCGCCCTCAATTTCATGGTGAGGATGTTGCTGCTGGTTACTACACGCGCCCTGTTCCGACCTTAGCTCAAGCTTACCGCCATGTACCAGTGGAAACTCCACGTACCGTCGCTACGGCTGAGAATATTGTTGTGGCCACCAATGTGACCCAACAAGCTCAAAATTGGAGCTCGCTCGGTTGCTCTGATTCGATTAGCAGAGAGTTCGCTGCTGGATATCGCAATTGCCCAGACTACGGAGATCGTTTTAAGCATCCGGAACAACCATTTGTCAAACAAAATGGTTTACTTTTCCGCAAGTATCAGACGATGATGCGCTTGTGTGTTCCGTTTACTCGGGACAATCACCTTCGAACTTCCATCATCTCTTGCTTCCATGACTCCAATATTGCTGCTCATCCTGGAGCTCATCGAGCGTACCTTCGCATTTCGCAATGGTATCATTGGCCCACCTTGGACCAAGACGTTCGCGATTATGTGCAAAGTTGTGAAACTTGCACTCGCTGGAAACACAGCAATGCTCGCAAGAATGGCAAGATGATTCCCATTCCGATTCCTGAGGAATGCTGGTCTGTCGTCTCTATGGACTTTATTACTGGATTACCTGATTCCAATGGTTTTGATGCAATCTTGACTGTTGTCGACAAGTTGTCCAAGCGCCCGAAGTATCGTGCGTGCAACCGGACTGATGATGCACAGAAGACTGCGTATCACTTCTTTGATTGCGTTGTTCGCCATCACGGTTTACCATCGATCATCATCAGCGATCGAGATTCCAAGGTCGTCTCCAAGTTCTGGTCATCCTTGGCTAAGCTAATGGGAATTCGTCTGCACATGACAACTTCCTATCGTGCCCAAGCCGATGGACAAACCGAACGCCAGAATCTGATTCTGGAAGACGCTCTACGCTGCATGATATCGTACCACGGACGTGATTGGTCGGATAATCTCGGAACGATTGAGTATGCTCATGCTACTCTCGTCAGCGCATCTACCGGTATGTCGCCCTTTGAAGTTGATACTGGACGCAAGGAACGGAATCCGCTGAATCCTTTGAGCAATCCCAGTACCATGACTCAAATTCAGCGTGGAATTGTTGAATATGCAAAACAGCTCCAAGACAAACGTCAAGAGATCATTGATTTGGCAAAGAAGCACCTTCTTCAAGCCCAAGAACGTCAGAAGAAGTCCTATGACAAGAAGCGATCATCGATCACGTTCAAGGAAGGAGACTTAGTTATGCTGGATACGCGTCGCATTCCTTCCGCCCACGTGACTCAAAACATTGATGGGAAACGAGCTAAGCTCGCTGCTCGCAAGATTGGGCCATTCGAGATTGTGAAAATGATCAACCCGAATGTGGCCAAGTTGAATCTTCCGCGAAGCATGAGTCGTCTGAGCTCCACGTTCAATGTGGACGTGTTGAGTCATTACGTTGAAAACCCGTCGCGTTTTAAGACTCGTCCTATCCCAAAGGCCTCAAGACTGATTATCGACGACGACACTGGCGCAACGATGCACATCATCGAGAAGCTTCTTCGCAAGCGTCAATTCAATCGCAAACCTGATTGGCTTGTGAAATGGCACCGATTGATAGATCACGAAGCAACCTGGGAGCGCGAAAAAGACACCCGCCATGTGTCGCATTGGAAGGTTCTCGTTTCCGACTTCAACAAGCGTCAACGAGAAGTCAAGTCCGGGAGGATGTAACGACGCACCAACGTCACAGCCAGCGATGGCCATGACGTTGGTACCAATGCGTCCTATTTTCTTCCTACTTGTCTTTGCTGACTGCCAACTGTCTTCTTAAGTTGCCAATGAGCGGCCAGGCAGACACACGCCTGACCGGAAGGCAATCACCATGTTTGGACGAGTATTGCCAAACATGGAACTTCAATGACAGTCATTCTTTTTCATTTGAATTCACTATGGAGATTCTGACCCGGTTCAAATGAACCGCGGTTTACTACTACGCTACGCTACTTCAAGATTCGACTCAAGGACTACTTAGAATCTAGTATAGTGAAATGCATATACTTACATAGGATACCAAGGGAATGCTAACAAGCACTTCCTCGTAGCCGACAAACAACTAACCATTTCAATCTCACTTTCCAATTTACCTTCTTTGAGGCACATCAACTGCCTCCTACGCCTTACCTTCGAGTCCCCTTCGTTGGACTCTCGCCGCCCTCCTCCGCTTCGCTCCTCGCCACGCGACTCGCTCCTCGTCGTTGTTCCTCTGCGCCGTGCTCTCAATAGTCGTCACACGTGCGCTCCAGCAGTATGTATTGCAGTACAGTCGTGCACCTCCAATTCGGCAGGGCGGACCATATCAACAGTGCCAGGGCATAAGTGCACAACGTAAAGCAAAAAACAAACGCAAATCTAGTGCACTGATACCTTTTTTTGTTAATTCAGTACTAAGTTTATGTTTAGTTTTGAGACGATGCCTGTGTGGCACCAGCAGTTTCTAAAAGTCTTTGCAGATATGTTGTTCCAGCCTTCAGACAACCACTTCATGGCGGAGTAAACGTCGACCGGCGTGTAAGGAACACCCTTGTAGAACAGCTCCAGCTCCGCGGCTTGCTTCTTGTTCTGGTACTCATTCTTCAGGCACTTAATGATGCCCTGGTCCATGGGCTGCACTACGGCAGTTGTATTAGGCGGGAGTTTGCAAAAACCACAGCCCTGTGCGCTGCTGGAAGCGGTACAGCTACCCTCGACTAGGTGTTTGCCTCCGGGTAGCTGTACTCCTTCACGCTGAGCTCCGTTGCCCAACGAGCAAGTTCGGAGTGAGAGCATGCAGGATCTGACTTGTGCTAGAATTAGAGACATGTAGGAGGAAGGGCGCTGTCCCATTGTCGTTGGCGGTAAAAATCGAAGTGTGTGTTTGTATGAAGACGTCCGATCCAAAATTTAAAATCAGATCGATGCGGCGTGTCAACCCTCCGCGAGGAGGGGAAAATCGTTGAGGTTAATTGCTAGGGTGGTGATGGGCAAAGGTAATTGCGCATCCGATTCGCGTAATCAAAAAATCTGGCAGGGTATCGACTGATACCGGTGCCGAATTGGAGGTGCACGACTGTATTGTAAATGCTTGCAGAATACGACATGTACTTGCAATGCGTGAAATACATTTTTACCCATCACTGTACAGTACCGTATTTGAGATCTCCTACTTCAGACCCAATATTTTTGAAGTTGTATTGTTGCAAAATGCACAAGATCTGTACACGTACCGACGCATCTCTATCACGTATTATTTAAACAAAACAATTTAGTTATCAAGTTCTTCTTCGGGAACTACGAAGTTTTCTATGTCGTGACGTGTATCCACAGCATGGCGCACTACGGGCACTTCTTCCAGCAACCGTCGTAGCAGCTCCCAGTCAGGTTCACTCCACAGCCGAAAGCTTGTAGGCGTATGAAATGGCAACGCGCTTGAACTTCTTGGGAGGCTTGCCAGTGCCAGAAATACGGGTTCTCCCTTTCCGTTGGCCGGAGTGCGCGCCATTGCAAATTTCTGGCAATGAGCTGGTGGATAGTTACAGTTTAGCATGTTTTTTGTACTCTGAATTAGGAGTCTAGACTTGTGCGCTGTTCCATTCTCGATATGTGATTGGTTGGAGGGAAGTCTGAATTAGGAGATCACTATGAAGTAGGAGATCTCAAATACGGTACTGTTCGCATTGCGCATGAAAGCTTGCGTTGGAGCTTGGACTGCTGTAATGATATAGCTCAATTAAGACATGTGGTTGAATCTGATGCAGGTGAGCCGACACCGAAGTTCCGACAGCCTGTCGGAACTTATTGCTGAGATGAGTTGTTTCCTCATCAAACTCGTCTTCACCAAAAAGTAATCTACTCTGACGTGGACAAGAACCAGCTTAGCCCTTGGTTTACGGTATGAAGCATACACGAAAAAGTGGGAGGAAGTGCAATTCATTCTGTTAGCAGCAGCACCAATCAATCTCTTCGAAACAACTACCGACTCCGCTACATGTTCCCAGAGCAGGAAATTTAAGGCGGCTGGTCTAAGAATGAGCTCTCTTCTCGAAGCGGATATTGCACAGGTCGCAGACCTCCTTCAGCGCCACCAGAGCCGTGTCCATATCCTCCCGCGTGTGGGCAGCAGAGATGCAGAAACGAACACGAGCGAGCAGCAGCGGCGTCGCAGGGAAACCGACCGTCACCACAGCCAAGTTACGCTTCAAGCACTGGCGAGAGAACTCCCCGACCTTCGACATGTGATACAGCATGACTGGGATCACAGGCGAGTCGAAGTCCCCAAGAGTGATCACGCCCATGTCGATCAGTTTCTGACGGAAATAATTGCTGTTGTCACGCAGAGACGCAATCTTCTTACGACCGATATCCGTGCCATCCAGACCGGCAATGATGTTGAGAGCCGTCAGAATCTGCTGCGCGATTACTGGAGACAGACTCGTCGCGTAGATCGCACCGGAGCTCGAGTTGCGGATGAAGTTGATGATTTCCTCTGACGCTGCGATGTATCCGCCCATGCCACCAAAACTCTTGGAGAACGTGCCCATCAAGATGTCGATCTCGCTGGGGTCCACGCCAGCATATTCACAGATACCACGGCCAGTAGCACCCAGAGCGCCAATGCTGTGCGCCTCGTCCACGTAGACGTACGCCTTGTACTTCTTGGTCACGTCCACCATTTCGCGAAGACGCACGATCTCTCCCTCCATGGAGTAAATGCCCTCGATCATCACAATGATCTTCTTCCAGGGGCGGTGGGTACGTGGCTGCCCTTCGGCAATCTTGGTACGCAGCACCTTCTCCAGGTGCTCGGGGTCGTTGTGCTTGAACACACCGACCGAGGCACCGGACGCGCGCGCACCGTTGACGATGGAAGTGTGGTTCAGTGCGTCACTCAGGATGAGCGTACCCTTGCCAGTGAGCGCCGGGATGCTGGTGGCATTGGTGGCGTAGCCCATGTTATACACGATGGCCGACTCCTTGCCAATGAACTTGGCTAGAGCCTTCTCCAGTGCAATGTGCACCGCCGTAGTGCCAAATTCCATGGGCGGAACGGTCGAAGCCAGCGCGAACTGCTTGACGGCAGGAAAGACCTCCTTGCTGCATGTGTTCATCCAGTCATCAGCGAAGCCCAAGTAGTTGTAGGACCCGAGGTTGAGGCAGTGCTGGATGCAACCGTCTTTGTTGTGAAGCGTCTTGTTCTCGTCCACGGAGTAGCGCTCGATCAGGTCAATGTGTGCGCCTACAAGGAAGGCAGAACGGGGTCAAAACACAGATAGGGAGGCAGAGAGGGAGGGGGAGTGCTAGGGCGCACCGGGAGGGCCAGTCACGGGGCGGTTGAAAACGTCCTGAAGGCGGTGGTAGATGCGTTTAGTGTAGAAGTTTTCGAAGGCCACGAGCAGAGGCGCATAGCCCTTCTTCGCGTTGTCAGCATAACGAGAGCCACCGAAAGATGCTGCCGGCGTGGTCACGCAGATGTCCGAAGGTGATGAGGATGGCGTACTGGATGTAGCACAAAATGGCCGCGGCCCATGGCACATGCTCGGCCGCCATGCTAAAGGCTGGACGAGTGTTGGCACTCTCTGACTATGCAGTGGATCACTTGCCCACAAAACACAGTCCCTCAAGCGATAAACACATAATTTCAGCCAATCACAGATAATTTGCTACGAAACGACACGTGATCTGATGCGCGGCTCGGTGCTATCGCCACCGATGGAACGCGCCACACGCTCCCCGCAGTCTCGCCACCGCAAGCGGCGCCTGCTGGAGGCCACGCAGCATGTTTCGCCATCCTCCGAGCGTTTGCTGGTTGAAAATGTGGCGGCGCAAGTGACGGCGACGCAGATTACAGTGGGTCTGAGCGAGACTGTCAACGCCTGCGTGCGCGTGTTGCGCAATGCTAAGAACAGCGTATATCTACGAGGTAAAGTGATACTACTCACTATATGGGACAGTTGACCAGCTCATGTGCTGCTGTGGTCGAATGCAGCGCTGGCGGCGCGAGCTCTTGGGCTTCTGATGCTGGAGAGTCGAGCACTGGCTGATCGATTGCGACTCGAGACCGAGGGACTGGTGGATGCACTGCTGCAGATCGTCAGCTACTGTCGATGTAGTCGTACACAGACAGCAGACACCAGACGCGTGCATGTCAACTGCTGCCTCGTCATTTCGCTGCTCATGCAAGGTACGAGACGCTCCAGGTGAGAGAGAGAATGAGAGATGGCACAGGCGACCTGTTGGTAATGATTTGTGTGGGGTTTGATCTCGTGCAGCTCCGTCGCAGCAGCATCTACAGTTAGTGGTGTCGTTGGACTCGGATCTGCTGGTCTTACAGCCGCAGCCCACCGAGCGAGAAAGCGCGAACCTTCTACTCACTGTTGCTGGTCGACCGGAAAGCGGGGATACAATGGATGAGGATGGTCGCAGAGTTGTCTTTGGTGCGCGTGTTGTAGCGCCAATTTCAATTAGGAAGAAGAAGAAGAAGAGGAGACAAGCTGTGCCATCTCCACCTCGAGCTGCGAGGAGCCCAAACCAGCAGTCGCCACCGCGCCAACAGCGCCGCAAGGTCGCATGGAATGAGTACGATATCAATACTACGAATGACCGGGGGGTCCCTCCTCCTCTCCCTCCTCCTCCTCCTCCTCCTCCTGTTAGCGGCAATGGATGGACAATCACCGGCGATAATTTGGCTGCTAATGTTGCTAGGCGGAAAACACAGAGTCGAATACTCAAGATGGAGCGCCACCGCCTGGTGACACCGATATTTCCTCGCCAGTACCCGCAGGATACGCCGCTAAATCCGTTGCCGCTTATCCAGCCAACAGGAGGTCATCGTATGTTTGGAGGAGATATGATAAAGGGGCAAAGAGACCAAGAAGAAGAAATTCAAGATTTAAAGCAAGCGGATGCTTCTCATCCTCACTCCGCTTCAGATACACTCTTGCACCCGCAGCATATGTTGCAGATCTTTCGCACTGGTCGAATGCCACTCGCTTCGCCAGCGTATTTTCAACAACATTTACAAAACGATGACAGAGGTGGGAAGGGTGGAAGACCAGTACCTAATCGACTTCGAGTTACTCGTTGGGATCAATGGAATAAGGATCGCCTACAAGATGAAGATGAGAGCGAGCATGACGCCATGCTGGCCGTAGCTGTGGTGCCAAGAGGTGATGACACTGGTAGAAAGGGAGATAGATTATCAAACGCCGCTCCAACTAGTCCAACAACCACAAGGCTGATGTACTTGCGAACTGAAGAGCTTGGACCTGCGACGCCAGCGTTTAAACGTCAGAGATTGCGACAAATCCTAAGTTCTCCTGTCGATTCTAACAAGCACAATGTAAAACAATTGCGAGCACTCGCTCAGGAAGTGAATACATCGGTAATGACGTCGCTGGGGTCTGAGATTGTTCGAGTCCGACACGAGGAAATCCGTACGCGGCAGGAAATGCATTCGATGATCCAGCAAGAGCGCGAGCGACTGCCACTCAAGTTTCTCTTTCAGTTACCTGGAGGTGCTGCATACTGTCGACATCGAATGCGGCGTGCTATGGCGCTTTGGATACTCGAGTTTGAAGATAACCAGCGTCGCATGGCTCTCATGCAGTGGAAAGCATTCGTAGAGCACGCACGTTTTCTTGAACGTGGCGAGGAATATCATCGCCAGGCTACTAAAAGGCGTCTCAAAGGCGCCTTTGAGTACGTCCTACGCGGTTATCAGGAACAAGGACTTCGCAAGTGGATTGAGATTACACAATTACTCATCTGGCATGACCGAGACGCTGCAGCGAGGCGCATTCAAGCGGCAATCCGGCGGCATCAGGGTCGGGAGCGTTTCGTTGCATTGCACCGCCGTCATCCTTTCGCAAGCCCTGTTTTGCGTGATGTTTATCTTGCACCAGCCCGTCCAGATCTTCTCTTTCGGATTCCGAGCGAAGTTCGTGAACACAGGCGAAAGCTATGGCGAGCAGCTGACCGCGTGCAGTGTGCGTATCGCTACCGTCGGTTCCGTATTGCACTCACTCGCTATCGGGCTGCAGCCGTTAGAATCCAGGCGTTGCAACGTATGCGTGCAGCTCGTTACAGGTATCACCACATTCGGCGACAAATTGTCCTGGTGCAGGCGCGTGTCCGAATGCGTTTTTGTCGCGACGTGTTCTTAGTCCTTCGGAATGCGGCGCTGCTGGTTCAAGCAGTTTTTCGCTCCGTGCGAATGCGACGACTACGTCGATTGGTTCTTTGTGCTCAGCGAAAAGAAAACGAGCGTGCGTTGTCCAGCTCCGTGCTACTTCAACGGGTTGCTCGTGGATTTCTGGGAAGAATTGCTACTCGTGAACTTCGACTTGTCCGTGACCAGGAGTGGCATGCTGCATTGATCTTTCAACGTTGCTGGTACAGGCGAAATAACGAGTGGTCAACATTCCTGTTACTTGGATGCCTGCGTGAAAAGGAAAACGAAGAGCGGGCATTCGATTCCCAGGTACTGGCCTATAAGCGCAATCACATGGCGAGGAGAATTCGCCGCACGTGGCAGGCATATCTAGCTGCGAAGCGGAACAAAGCTGCAGGACTCATTCAGCGAAATGTTCGTCGGCGTTTAGCCCATCACTGTGTCGAGCTCCTGCGTCGTCAAAAAATGGCACATCGACGAATCAAATGGTTCTTTCGTATCCATCACGCTCACCGTATTCGCACAGCAAGTTATCTACAGTTTTGGTGGCTCAAGTCGGTTCCAGGACGATTTCGACACCATTTGTTTGTCCGTCGAATTGAGGAAGAACTGGAAGACAGGCGTCGTACGTTTGAACTGGAGAAGAACGCCGCATCACAGATACAAGCAATTGTCCGAGGGCACATCGCTCGGCTGATCGCATTACGCGAGCGCTCTGCTCACTCGATCCAGCGGGCGATTCGAGTTCACTTCATGCGCAAGCATTTCAAGGAAGAGATGGCTCGCATTAGAAGTCTGGTTTCGAGTCAAACCGCGGACTGTTGCATTGATACAGCAATCTTTAAGATGGTCAACGCCACGATGAAGCTGCACAACGCTTCAGCGTGTGCGATTCAGCGCATTTTTCGTGGTTGCCACTGCCGAATGCGCGTGATGAGAGAGATCGTTTACATGGAGTTACGAGCACGTATGGCAGTGCGTATTCAGCACAAGTGGCGGCAAAATGCGCATCAACGGGCAGCACGAAAGCTGTTGCAAGCTCAGCAGCGCAAGCAATCGAATCCATTCCGAACGGAAACATCCATGAGTCTCATTGTCAACAAAATGCTGTCTGCGTCAGCTGTATTCTACGATCCAGACGATGAACTTCGAGGGATGTCAGTACAAGAATGGCTGCGTCGACTAGGTCTAGGTGCGAAGTACGGCGAATTGTTCCAGAAGAATCGTTGGATCGCCTCAGTCGACTCGCTCGAAGTATTGACGCGACTTCGTGCGCTGAACTTCGACGCGTGTGAAGATAAACTCGAGAGCATTGGGATCCATGACTCTGAGGATACGCACATGATGTTAACCAACTTGCTCGCTTATCAGACGATTCAGGACACAAAAAGACGGCGCAAGGAGTTGGCGCTGGCCCGAGAAAAGCAAGAGCTGCTGAAGCGAAATTGTGACTTCGCTCAAAAGCACCTCCACGCGTGTATTGACGCCCAGCAGAAGTGCAGCGATGCTCTGGATGATGCACTTCAAGAGGCGAAGGAGTTCCGGAATCCACCTAAAGCGTTACGTGATAGACAAGCTGCTCGTTCTCGCGAGCTTGAGGACGCTGCCAAAAGGTCAACTGAAGCTCATGAAAAATGGGAATTGTCCACAGCATTACAATCTGCACATGCACGTGAGGTTGCCATATCTCAGCAACAGCTCGTCTCACAACAAGAATCCAAGGAGATCTCAGCCGTACACAGTCTACGCAGTCTGACACTCATCGACCAGCTCAATGTAGCTCGCGAGATCTTTCTGGAGCGGTTTCCTGGCTTGGATGCTCGCGCGCTCGCATTTGTCAGCGCTCTCGAGGAGAACCAAGTTTCGAGATGGCAGCTTCAGCGCTTCTTCGACACATACACTACTGTCTTTGAGGTAAAGCAGCATGTGAACGTGCTCACGTTCTTCTCTTTCGAGACTGAGGTGAAGAAGCACAATCATGTGAGATTCGGCCAATGTGCAGACATTTTACAGTATGGTCTTGAGCGGCTAGCTGAGCTGCTTGGGGTTTCCATGGAGATGATGGTACTTGGGGTTAAAGATGCCGATGGAACAGGCGGTGGTAGACACAGCTTCAAGGAGCGCTTGATGCTGGAGCAAATTATTCTTGATACGGTTGCAGCGTCCACTAGTGCTCGGGGAAATCAAGAAAAGGCTCGGATATGGCGAGTGGGGGCTGCTACTATTGCCAAAATGAACGCAATAGCCACGAAAATACAGAGTCTGTGGCGTCGACGAGCTCAGAGCAAGTTAGTTGCTGAACTCCGGGTCAATCAACGCCACAAACAAGTTCGCGAGCAGTATGTTGCCGAGTTTCATACTGACCACGTTACACCATTTTGGCAGTCGGAGCGCAAGAAGGAGCAGGAAGCACTGGATGCTTGGCTGGAGGAAGAGACAAGGACACACCGATTACGACAGCTATATAACATCATACGTTATCCCTACATTGAGGAATGGGATGACGAGACGCAGGCTTACGTGTATGCAATTTATTTGCAAATTGAAGACTCGACAGTACCACCGGGTGAAGAAGACCAGCAGACATTTGAAGTAGCTCAGACCAGGTACTACGTCACTGGCAAACCCACTTACACTATTGAGGAGGAAGATGTGGCCATCAGAATTCAAGCCCAAACACGTCGCTTCCTGGCTCAGCGCCATTTACAAGAGCTGCAGCGCTTACGCCGTCGTGAGCGGCGGCGTGTTGCACTAGAAACAGAATGGAATAGCTCTCGGCAAGAGCGAGGGCAATTGCTTACGCTCAGAATCCAGTTCGAGCTTCGCAACAATTTACAAGTGAGGACCTGGTTGGGTTCACGAGTGAAGCCTAAGCCTCCTAAGCCAACTGTAGTGTCACCGACCAAGCGTGATAGCAACAACAGAAAGGTGTTCGATCTACCCACAGCAGCAAAGATAAAGTCTCCAACGAAGGCTGCACAGAAAGAAGACACCATAAAGACCAATGAGGCTGACGGGGAAAAAGCAAAACGGCGTGTTCGAGTGCACGCTGCTTTAAATGTCGCTATTGACGCCCTGGCACCTACCTACCATGACAGTGTGCGTGCTGAACATCGCCGCAACTGTAGTTTCCCGCCGAACTCACGTCCTGGCAACGCACACGGCCGTGCTATCATTCGTCTATTGGAAGATCTACCCACTTTCTATCGTTTAACTGCGCCTGAATTACAAGTTGCGAGCAAGCTACCATTCACTAAGATGGCTCTACGGTTTGGTTGGGAAGAAGTGCTGGCAAAAGCGGTGCCAGCGGTTAATACGCGCAATGCTTCACGATCATATTATTTCAACAAGAACACTCTCGAGACATCATGGGAACGTCCCGATTATTCCTTCAACGAGCAGGTCGCAGCTATTCGAATCCAAGCGCTTGCTCGCATGCTCTTGGCCATCAACGCGCGTGTGAGGGAACTTGCTGCTATTTCGTTCGTGACTACCATTCAGGATACCGTCAAACAAGCAGCACGAGTCGGTTGGGTGGGCTATTCACTCGAGGGTGTGACGTCAGCTGTGTTTTTGAGTAGGTTTGGCCTCACCAAGTACGTCACGTCAGCGTTGGGCCAATCCCCACTGAAGGAACTATTGGCCACAGTATCGTCCGAGGAAAAGGTCAAGAGCCTTGGCTGGAGCAAGGAAGAAGTTAGTCTTGTGTCGTATTTTCCCCGAATCCTGTCACGCAGATTCCCACGAAGCTGCTCGAGAGAGACATCTGTTCCTGCCAACGTTAAACACCCGTTCAATATTCTACCAAGTGAGCGTGTGATCTCGCAGCTCGTGACCCAGAGTTATCCAAACCAGCAAGGGCGGGTTGCTGGCCTACTCCGTGCGTTGCGTAACTCGACGACTCCAATCTCATATCGACAGCTAGAGATGCACCTTCGTCGATATGCAGGTCGCCCCGATGACGCAATCGCTAATGTTGGCGAAGTCGCCTCACTTGTGACAAGCACACGGGAACCACAAGAGAAGGCGATCTTCGTGTTGTATCTCCGTTGTGCTGAGCGCTGCGTGGTGTATGCCGCCAATCTCAAACTTAAAACACTTCAGCGAGAACTCTCGACTGTGTTACGAATGCCCCGACGCTTATTGTCATTCCCAGTTTCATCGCAGTCGCCTGTACGTGACGAGGAAATTATCGGAACTGCTACGTCAATAGCTGCCATGCCAGTCGTTCCCATCTCTCCTGCAGAGGAAGAAGGATGGCTGCAGCAAGCTATGTCTAGATATCCAAGTCGTGCTGTCAAAGGCCTTTGGGAGAATGAGGTGAAATCATCGTTTTCATATGCCCAAATGGCTCTCTATCTGCGCGAAGAAGCACTTGAGCGCGTGCTTGTCTGGGAGCGCGCTGCTCTGCTGTGTCAGACAGCGTTCCGTATGCTGCGTGTGCGTCGTTGGTATCTCGCTATCCAAGAAGCGCGTGCAAGAGCAGCAACCATTATCCAGTGTGCATGGCGAGCATTGGGTGCGCGGGAAGAGCGTGCATTGCTGGAGTCTCAACAGCAGTCACCGTATGAGCAACGCCTGGAGAAACGCACGAATACCTTCTACTTCGTCTACATCCCTACTGACGAGAAATTGCTCGAGGAACCTCGAGACGAAGTCACCGGTGGAATTCTGCCGTATCGTCCCATGGTGCAGGATCGTCTTACAAAAGGATGGATGTTGGCTTGGCCACACTTCACGCCGGCTTCTCGGAGAGCCCGGACAACTAAACCAGTACCTGGTGCTGAGACTCCATGGGTCGCTTGTAGTCTTTGCACTGCGGAACGCGCAGCTCGCCGCTGTAATGAATGCTACTCAGCCACCGGCGACTATGTGGATTTCTGTCTCGCGTGCTTCTACGACCGGCATTTCTCCACTGCAGCAGCAAATTCCGGTAGCTCTGAAGACTTGAGCTGGCACACTTACACGGCGTTGAATCCTTTGCGCACGCCATTCTTTCGATGTGTTGAGTGTACCAGACCATCGAATCTTCGTTGCTTGCCTTGTAATGAGCATTACTGTGAGCGCTGCTTTACTCGTGTCCACGCTCGAGGCAAAACACGGTCACGCCACGCGCGTGATTGGTATGCAGCCCATGCTGCTGCCTGCATCGAGTGTGAGATGCGAGTGGCCAGCCAGCGATGTCTCACTTGTCAGGATGCACTGTGCGAAACATGTATGGCTCGCACACACGCTCGCGGTCGACGTGCAGACGGCAAGGCGCACTCGGTGGAGTTGCTTCCGCAACCTCTAGAGCCTGGTGATGCTTATTGCGAGCAGTGTCACGCACGCCGCGGTGATGAACGTTGCGAGTTCTGTGGCTGGACACTCTGTGCAGTCTGTCACTGGAGCTCTTCATCTTCAACTGGTGTTCGTAGTAGTCGACATGCCCTTGTGTGTGTGGAGACGGCTTTAGCTGAAAAGCGACGCGAGTTGCTGGGCGATCGAGGCTTGTGTGTAGAATGCGGCAAAGCTGCCGACCGTGAATGCGTCACGTGCGGAGATAGCTACTGTAGCGTCCGATGGATGGGGAACGCTGGATGCTTTGAACGCTTCCACATCAAGGGAAAACGCTCCGATCACACGTTCACGATGGTCGAAGTGCCGACACAAATGCCGCCAGAGATACTGGCGCTTGAAGAACAGGTTCGTGTGAAACGACGACGCGATGCCGAAGTGGCTGAACACGAAGCTAAGAAACTAGCAGCAGTTCTTCTTGAAGAGGAAGGACCTGCAATGAAGAAGACGGCTAGGGCACGCCAAAAGAAGAGCAAAAAGAAGAAGCGTTCACCGGCGGACGCACCTGACGGGAAGAAGAATTGTGCTGTCTCGCAGTGTCGACACCGTGCGATTGTTCTCGACATTCCTGGATTATCGTACTGCGCCGAGCATTTCACTCTTCAGCACGCGCTTGAGGCTGCTGGGAAAGATCCTCTGGAAGCTGCGCGGTTGCTGACGCTGGTCGAAAACGGCGGTGGGCGTGTTGTAAAAAGCCACAAGGCAGGGTGGAGGAAAATCTTGTCGGGGCATTTCTTCTCACGTAAGTATCGCATCGCCAAGAAACCTCGGAAGGTGAAAGAGACCTCGACAAGCTATCAGGCAGAATCCTCGACCACTACGACAACTTGATAGTACCTACAGCTCAAAACTAAACAGAGGGACTATACGACACTTGTTCTCCTTGACATTCTTCATCACCACAGGTCTTCAATGTCTTCCAGTCCAGAATTTGTTCCAGTACTTATGAATGTCAGCCACTGGCATTTGAATTCTTTTCCTCCTGACATCGGCTGTTGGCCTCATCAACAGACCCCTTTTGCCACGGTTATTCTCCATTATCTCGAGTCGATGTCGCAGGTGTTTCTTGCATCGAGTGCGTCTGGAACTTCAGACCCGAGTTCGTGACCAACGATAGCTCGTACAACGTGTTCTAGCAGCATCGATACAGATTGTTAGTGCTCTGCGACTTACCTGCTATCCAACCAGAGCAGCATCTCACCTCCAACTTGCGCAGGTTGTACTTGACCGAGTCGAACTTGCGACGCAGAGGGCCGTTCCTGAAGTCGAACTGGATAAGCTCCCCAGAAATGGCTTCCACCATATCCTTGCATCGCTTAACCTCGTCCACCTCCCTCGCGGTGGCCTTCACAACTGCATACCGCATCAGTTCACCTGCACTCTACTGTCAGTTCACTACAGCCGATTTAAATAATAAATACTACATGCGGGAGTACTGCAGTACAGTAGATAACGCCCGTCTCACCGGTGAAGTCGACGACACCGCCGAGGTACTCATTCTTGAGCACGATTGGCACCTCCCGACGTGGCAGCAGACGCTTCGTGTCAAGGTAGTACCAAAAACATTTGGCCTCTACATATTCCTCCAGAGAGGATGACAACGCTCCGTCCCGTAGCGATGGATTTTTCTCCGTCAGCGCCACCAGCTCCGGTATCACCTGTCCAATATTATAATATGCAGATAGTAACAACATGTGAAGTGGAGTTCACTCGGTTGCCAGTCACCTTCTCAGCGTCGCCCAGCATCCGCAATGCCTCCGCTGTGTCCGATCGATGCAATGCGAAGATCGCCTGCTTGCTGTGTGTTAAATAGCGTCGTCGTTGTTAATTACATAGAATGAGCAAAATAGTGTGGTTACGACCCATTGCATGTATCGTGTATTGCAACCGCTGCCGGCTTGTGTTCTGTACCTGGACTTGAGGATCTCTCGTGACCGCTTGATGATCTTCTCGCGCATTTCGTCGTATTCGTGCAACTCTGAGCATTGGACATGCATTAGTAGGAGGCAGTAAGAGCCGAGGGAGAGATGGACTAGTACACCTTGATTCATGTCGATGAAGTCCTGGCGGTGCAGCATCAAACTACCGAGAGGCGATGAGGCTCCCATGATCGGAACCTCCGCTTTCACTTCGGTCGGCCCGGTCTGCATGTGCTACTGGGTATGTTCTTGCTGGGAAACTGCCAAACGTAATAGCCAAAACATCTTTCAAAATAAAATTGCAAAAAACGATTTGCTCTACATGTAGATTTGAAAAGGTCATACTGTACCGTATTTGAGATCTCATACTTCGTATTGTGAACTCCGTCCAAATTTGCAGCTTTGGTCCTATTCAGTGAGTCACTCGATTACATAATTTCCTGTTATTTCGAAACGGCCCAGATCGTACTTAAACGGTCGCATTTCGTACCTAAGTGGATTCTCTCTCAAGGCAGTCAATTACAGATTTTGCGCTTCTGTGCGCGTTCATTCAAAGAACCGCGCACGGAAATTTGAGTGGAACGCACAATACCCCATATTTTTGAAGTTGAGCTATCGTAAATCGAACACGAGATGTGCATGTACCGACGACTCTATGCACACTCAGTCTGAACCTTGAAATATCAAAATGAAGGGGAAAAAGGCATTTCAATAGGCAACCTAACTATATAATTTTTTATCATTGGCTGCTAATGTTTCAATGTCTCGGCTTGCATCTACTACATGTCGAACAGCAGGAATATCCTCGAGAAGCCGGTTGAACAGCTCCCAATCTGGCTCTGCGTCGACCAACGCCTGCTCTACATCATTCCCTGCTGTTATACACAGGGATGCCGAAAAATAAATTGATGCTGCAATTATTGCAATAGATAATCTATTTTTATCATTTAACCGATAGGTAGCAGTTATCTATTGGACCAACCAAATCACTTCAATAATCTATTGGACCAAACTACCACCAACCATCTCCTTGTTAAGCAAGGACAGCAGCCACCACAAAATGTAGCCCCACATCGACGCCAGCAAACATAATTTCCTCACTTCCAAAACCACAAGAAGCCCAACACCACCGCCAGCCCCCACGATGTTCGCCGCTCCCCGCCCTGCCGCCCCAGCCACCTTCACCAATGGTCAAGTCGCCAACTTTTACTCCCGGTCGTGCCGTGACCAGTACGACGAGATAACCCTGAAGTATTACCGCTGAAGGTGCGGCACAGTCCCGAAGCGAGTCGCTGGAGCTGGCTTCGCGAACCTGATGCAACATATAAAGCGGAAGCATTCTTCCTTTGTTGAGGAGATGCTAGTGACTACGCCTGGCCAGAGTGGATATGTTGCCCACTACGTGAGCCTGACTGCTTAAACACGTTCGGGCGGTTGGAATTACCGGTCAAGCGCAGCCTACCGCTTTCGTTCTTTGAGAGCAAGCTCACACGACGGTGCGCTCGTTAATATTTTTCAAGTTTTTTTTAACAAAACTAACGCGTTTCTTTAAATGTTGAAATGCAACGTCAGATACAGCAACCTACAGCCTGTCTCAGTAGAGACACTCCGGCGAGTCATGGTGGCTGTGACTCGAGCAGTAGAGCGCTCGATCGCTGCGGAGCTGCCCGAGCGATTTGGGCTCGTCTTTGACGGATGGAGCCATGACTCAGAGCATTTCATCGCGGTGTTCGCGTGGTACGAGGTGGACGGGGCACTTCATTGTCCCCTTCTATGCATGGCTCCGCTCGTCAACGACGAGACCGACGATCTGTCTGCGGCCACTCATCGTGCGTTCTTAGAAAATATGCTGGCGCGGGACTATGGTAAAAGCCTGGAGCAGTGTCTCTTTTTAGTAGGACATAACTGCTCCGTTAATCGCCGTTTCGCAGACCTAGTAGGAGTTCCACTGGTCGGATGTGCGAGCCACAGGCTTAACAGATCCGTTTCCCAGCGTTTAAGCGAGTGCGCGAAAGACCTTGACAGTGTTCAAGCGGTCATGATCAAGCTGCGTACGCTCCATCACTCTGCTAAGTTCCGGTAAGAATTTTGACTATTTTTGTAAATATGTTTAAATTTTTTGCGTACTAGCAGTAATTTTCGATAAGTGAATGATTACAGGTTTAGCACGGACCTTCGCCCAATCATACGTCAGCACACTTGCTGGGGGCCCTCGTTTGCCATGGTCAACAGGTACTTTGAGCTCCTCCCATTCATAGATTCAGAGGACGACGAGCTGGCGGAGCTGCTGCCGCACGCGGTGTCCAGACAGCGTTTGTGCGATCTAGTGGCTTAGCCCAGGGACGTGGAGTCAGTGGCGATGGCGCTCCAGGGCTTCAACGTCGACCTCCTTGACGTTCGAGTATGGTTTGACAGCCTTATAGCGGAAATGCCATCGTTTGCGCGCTACCTAGGTGAGGACGTTTTTTCTGGTATATTCGTAGCTTACACTAATATTTGTACTAACTTTATATTAATGCAACGCCAAGGGCTGATATTGTCCGCAGTCCAGACTTTGAATCTGGATGTGTCCGAGTGCTGAAGGGCCAAGCCAAGCGTCTGACCAGGGCTGAAAAGGCTGTGCTCGAGAGATTTACGGTGGTTGCAAGTGTTCAAGATGGAGAGGTTGGTGAAGAGGAGGCAGACACTAACGCTTCCTTCGTCGAGAGGGTCCAAAGACGCCGCCGGCTGGAAGAGCGACAGCCCTCGTACGATCTTGTTGCCTCTATCCCTCCCACGTCAAACATCGTCGAGCGCTTTTTTTAGTATCGCTAGAACTACGTATGGGCAGCAACGCCACAGACTTCAGCCGTATACGCTAGAAATGCTTCTGTTCTTGCGTCAAAATGCAAGTTATTGGGATGTCCGTACAGTGGAGAGTGCGTAGTGATAGTATGAGGCTAAGCACGCAATATATTGACACATTATTGCATCAATAATCTATTTTTCGCGTCTGGCTAGTTCAATTATCTATTCAGGGCTCACATGCAGCCGTCACCAATAATCTATTGTCCGCTATGACGTGCAATAGATAAAAATGCAATATTCGGCATGTAAACTTATACATGCTGCTTAAGTAGGATTTTGGCCTTGCAAAACCCAATGGCAACGACAGACATGGGGAGAGAGCTCCACGCTGCTTTCGCCCACATTATCATCTCGTGCCTGCTAGGTGGATTTAGTTTGAACGGGATCGAAGTACAGCTGGTTCGTAGCTGCAGCAGCATGAAGCAAGCCCAATTCTTCCGCATCATATCTTTCAGTGGCTTATTATATGATATATCGGCCGGTTGACAGGCAAAAACGTATACCCAGCCGGTATACGTATGAGCTCAACATTCAGAAGACGAGCAAACATTTGCACATCTTTTCTCCAGTGGCCCAAAAAATCGCCAAGAAGTAGCAATACTGGTACGTGCATGTCTTGTCGATGCAGGAAGTGATGAATTAGAAATTGAATCGTCATGTCCCGCTCCATCACCCCGCGTCGTTTCCATAAACTTGTACACTAGTTTGCTCCCCGCGGGGTTCACGCCAAAGTTGCACTCCAAATCCATGTTGGAAAGAAGTTTTCTCCCGAGCACGTTCAGCGATCTTTGACGGCTTGGCTTTAAAAACCATGAACGGGTCGTATGTTTGCCCTATACTGTCCCCCAGCAGCATTGTGACGGAGTCACACAGCACCTTGCGCTAGAGGAAGTTGGCTTCCGAGAGAATACAAACTCTCAGCGAGCGGCAGCTCACAGGTCCCTTTTTACCTAAGGGAGCGAAGTGACCAATTTAAGTAAAGTTGTAGCCTGAATATATTTAAAGGTAGGCTAAGCTTGAGTTATATATACAAACTATAAGTCACCTATAGAAAAGCTTTGTCATCAGCCAATGGTTGGCCTCGGACGACCCTGGTACCATGTACCAGGTACTCCGAAGTGTGACGTGCCACACTTCATGTTACTAGGGGTACATTTGGGGCTACGTACCCCGTTACATCCTCCCCCAGTTATGTTCGGTTTACCGACCAATCAGAATGAGGAAGTGTCCCTCACAAACTCTCATTCTCAAAGTCGAAATACATCGACTTGCCTGCGCGAGCGCGGCGGAGGCTCACTTTACAGTTAGAGCCTCGAGCAGCGGTTGAGCGCTCTTCTTCTCGGTCTCCACATCGACCTTTAGCATGCCCCATGGCACTGCAAAGAGCGGTGCGAAAACACGCTCCAAGGCTGCTGCCGGAAAAGCACAAGCCAAGAGCGCTAAGCCTCGCGGCAAAGGCTCTGCACTCCAGGAGGCTACTAAGGTGGCCTCGGAGGCGATCGGCTCATCTGGTGACACGGCTGCGAGCAAGCGTGCAAGCAAGCGCCGCAGTCCGTCACCTTCGGTTTCTCCAAACAACCGTCCGAACCCGCGGCTCGCTGAACGTGAGTTCAATTCGGGACGAGGCCGAGTCCGGGAGTACATACGATGCTCCCGTGGATCCGTGGGAGGGCACACCCCAGTGCCCAGCGAGCACCCGGACGACAACGTGCACTCGCTTGCTAGTGATCACGGTGATCACAGTCCGAAGACGTATGTGCGCTCTGAGAGTCCTGCCGTCAAGGCTAAGGGCTCTCCCAAAGCTGGCGACGACGAGGAGGAGACGCTTCTCAAACATCTTCGCTCGCCGAGGGTCTTGCGCGCGCTAAGGCCGCCAAAGAAGAAGACACCAAGCCCTCTAAGAATCGCACGGTTTCGAAGTCTCCACTCCGCGAGGAGTAGGAGACGGGTACTCCTATTGAGCTTCTTTGGTTCCTGGGATGAAGAGAAAGAGGAGGAGGTGCTAATCATGAGCCCCCTGAGATCGCTAGCGACCTCTATCAGCAGCAGAAGGACTTCCAAGCTGCCCAGCGCACGCGTGGGGTTCCGGTGGTGGCACCCGTCAGCTAGGGAGCTACCATCAACTCAAGAGGTTATTGGCCTCCCGAGGAGAGCTCTGGGGCTGACCGCTTCCTGGAGATCGTCGTCGCTCCTCGTGGCCTTGTCGGTAGCCACTTCTAAGAGCGCTTACGAACGTGCCCTGGTCCAGAAGGAGCTGCTGTTCGTCGACAACTTGGATGCGTGCCTCTCGCGCCGCACCGAATCCCTCTGAAGGACTTCACGACTTGTTGCAAGAAGCCCGAGAACCGGGGTGGTCTCTACCCTCTTTGGGGCTACCTCTGGGCTCTGCCCGAGAACTGCCCCACTTGAAGTTCTTGTGAGGACATGTTCTGGGCTTGGGTGGAGTCTATCAAGTGCCCCCCCCTTGGAGCTACGGGAACTGTATGAAGATCAGCTGCTGTCCCGCATCCTGGATCAGCGTGATCTTCGTGTTCGGTTCGCCCGCATGGTCAGCAAGCGCATGCTGCCAAGGGACATCCTGAAGCGCGCGGCTTCTAGCGCTCACGATGAGCGCGGGTACGGAGTGTCGTCAACATCCGTACCCCGTTCGGGCAAGAAGCCCCGGACTACTTATGAAGCTGCCGCCGCTTCTGTTCCCAGATTGCGACAGCCTTCG